TGAACCGGCTCAGGAGTCAAAGAAGACAGGAGCTGAATGAGAGACGCAAGGCTGCATGCATGCGTGGAAGACACTTATTCAGCCCTGAGTTTTAACAGCAGCATGACCTTGCTCAGCAAGAGATAAACCAGCACGCTATATCAACAAACCTGCTGCTTGCAGCCATTCGTACTGGCAACTTCAGTTGACAGGACCAGATGCTCTGTGCAATCCGGACTCCTTGAAACCTTGACGGTTTGCTACTCAGCTTCTGAACTTCGGCTCCTTGACACTCGGCATTGTTTGACCCTGGATTCGGCTCTGCGATACCCTGGCTTCGTTTGATTTATGGACTATGACGTATGGTATGTTTGACGCTGGCTTTGTGAACTGTTTTGGACTTGTTTAACCTGTGCTGCTTGAACTACTCGGCTGAAACTCGGACTGGCTTTGGACTTGACTTGTGTGACCCACGCTCCCTGGCCCTGCTGTGACAGTTGACTATAAAGGCCACACCATTTTTTCTACGAGATTCCTGGCCACAGTAGTAGATATAATGGTCTTCTGAGTTAAATTCGCCCATTCCTGTCCACTTTAGTTCACTGATTCCTAAGATATCTGTCCCGCCGCTGCGGCGGGAAACTCTCTTGTTGACTATAAAGGCCACACCATTTTTTCTACGAGATTCCTGGCCACAGTAGTAGATATAATGGTCTTCTGAGTTAAATTCGCCCATTCCTGTCCACTTTAGTTCACTGATTCCTAAGATATCTGTCCCGCCGCTGCGGCGGGACTGGCGCGGCCCGCGCCGAGCTATCCACCAGTCCCAGACAACAAAGACGCCGAGGCCCCAGTTTCGCCGGCTGACGGAGGCATCAGGAGGGTTGGTTCCGAAGGCTACCAAGAACCCAGACCCTTCCCCCAGCGTCCAAGGAGCAGAACAGCACGGAAGGGGCGAGAGGAGGAGCAAGAGGAACGGTCCGGACCGCGTTCCACGTAAAGGGGGGGGAGAGCCCGATTAAACGAAAGAGCCCGGTGGAGGGTCCCTGCATTACCTCTGAGGGCGGTAGCCGGCGAGAACGCGGAGAGCAGTATCGGCATCTCTGCCGGAAGTAGGCACACCCTTACAAGCCCCGTTAGAACGCTGAGTATACAGGGGGCGGGATCACCAAAAGGGAAGCAACACACAATAGGAGAGCACGGTGATGGGCAGGTGGAATGGCCCATAGGTTTAGGAATCACAGAAAGGGGTGGCACAGAGGGAGTGGGGAGGATATAAAAGAAAAGAAGCTGAAGAGTGCTGGGGAGGAATTCAGAACTGATCTCCTAGCCAACTCAGAGAGAACGTGGGAAAGAGATCATTCTGAGGAAGGTGTCTGGGGTGTGAGTTAACCCCCAGCACTTCCAAATCTGAGGCACTTGCTTCTTCATTAAAGACTCAACACGGCTACTGGTTACTCCGGCCCTGGGGGTGACCCAGAGCACGACAATATCGATGTTCAGTCTTGCCATCTCGTTTTTGACCATGTCAAGCTTACCTTGATTCATAGATCTTACATTCCAGGTTCCTATGCAGTATTGTTCTTTGCAGCATCGGACTTTCCTTTCACCATCAGACACATCCACAACTGAGCATCCTTTCAGCTTTGACCCAGCCACTTCACTCTTTCTGGGGTTACTTGTACTTGCCCTCTGCTCTTCCTCAGTAGCATATTGGACACCTTCCGACCTGAGGGGCTCGTCTTCCGGCGTCATATCTTTTAGCCATCTTTTCATAGTGGAGTGGGTTGCCATTTCCTTCTCCAGGGGATCACGCTTGGTCTGAGTTCTCTGCTGTGGCCTGTCCATCTTGGGTGGCCCTTCACAGCATAGCCCACAGCCTCATCGAACCACGCAAGCCCCCTCACCACGACAAGGCAGTGATCCATGAGGGGGATTCAATGTAGGCTTTATGGTAAAATGATTTGCCGGCCAAAGGTCCCAGGCTCAACCCGTGCAAAAAGAATCAGGTGGGAGAGTTCCGGTTTTGACGACTTGCTGGATGGACATGCTTCATCATGCTCTGATGTGAGCAGCCCGTTATCATGGTGGATGGGAGGGGTCCCGAACGACTTCAGCCCCCCCCCGAGAGCCCTTGTAGGGGGCTTGCAGCTTGGAGCGCAAGGGGTGCCTCTTCCAAGGTGATGGCTGAGGAATTGAGGCTCCCCTTTGTCCCGATAGGTCCTGCCACCGTGAGCCCAGTATGGGAGTATTAGAGGCTCACACTGGACGAGCGAGCAAAGGATCTAAAGTGTGTCTGCTCTACCCACCTCTTGAAATAAACGTTGGAAGGAACTGTGAGTTTAAGCGAACCTGTAACTAAGTAAGCGTTCAAGCAGAAAACGGCACCAAAGCCCCATGCAAACTCAGAGGAGGGGGAGGAGTTGAAATCCCTACCTTGGAAAAACGCTGATTTCTGAGCGAAAGCGAGGGGCAGAAAGGTTGTTTGGACTGGAAGAGCTCTAATCTAGCCTAATACAGCAGAGAATAAGCAAAAGAGAATAAAATAGACAGTCTTTCAGAACAATTGAACAAACCTTAACTTTTGTAAACGATGTTGAAGTGAGGAGGGAAAATGGCGGAGAAGAAGAAACTTTCCACAGGAACTGCCAATTCAGCCACCTCGACCTCTAAACCGGAACCAGCTACTGACTTTCCAAACATGTTGGCTACAGTGTTGCACCCCCTGCTGGATCAGATGAGTAATCTCAACAGTAAATTTGATGCTCTCCAAAATCAGTTGAAAGACACCGTCACAAAAACAGAAGAAACGGAAAAGGCGGTTAAACAAGTTGATGCTAAGCAGGGCTTTTTTTGTAGAAAAAGCCTAGCAGGAACTCATTACCATAATAGGCCACACCCAACAGCAGAAACGCACTAGGATATTAGGCCACACCCCTGATATGCTAATGTGCTGTGCTATCAGGGGTGTGGCCCTGCTGCGGGGAGCCCGGGCAAGCTGGCCCTTGGACAGGCTTGGAAAGGCATGGGGAATAGGAGCCGCCACCACTAGTCCACCACTAGTGCACTACCACCGCACTAGTTACCATCTATTCCCCATATATGGACATCAGGATGGGGCACGCACATCTAGTCGCTGCACTATGGGCGAGAACGGGATGGTCAGGGATAGTCATCTTGCTTTTAGAAATTTTAGAATTTGTAGAGATTGGATATTTTGCTGAGAGGAGCATCAAAATCTGTTTTAAATAGGGTTGTAATTTAATATTTTGTATTGTTTTATGGTTTAATCTGGCAATATGCCCTGTAAGCCGCCCTGAGCCTCCGGGGAGGGCGGGATAGAAATGTGAATAATAAATAAATAATTAAATAAATAAATCCAGGTGGATAGTCCTGAGCTTCATTATCAGTTGCAATTCAGCAGTCTCTCTGCTTTGCAGTTCCTTTGTAAGTGAACTGCTACCTTTAGGTCAGCAACTGAATGTCCTGGAAGGTTAAAATATTCCCCCATTGGAGTCTTGCTTTTTTCTACTGCTACAGACTAACAGGGCTACCCATCTCTCTCTTTCTGGAGAGCAGTTGTAATTAGGATTGCCAGCCTCCAGATGGAGCCTGGAGATCTCCCGAAATTGCAACTGATCCTGGAGAAAACAACTGCTTTGGTGGACTCTATGGCACTATAACCTGAGATCCCTCCTCTCCCAAACTCCATTCTCCACAGGCTCCCCCCCCCCCCCAAACCCCCACACCCCCCTAGGCCATTGGGACTAGCAACCCTACTCCCAGTTTTTAATTGATGGGGCAGAGTAGGGTTAATCCACCATGAGTTTCAAGGAGAAAGGTAACCTTCAAACAAATAAAAATCTAACTGGGAAAATGGACTGTGAAACATGGTAAGCAGGGAAATACAGAGACCTCAGAAAGACATATACAGTTATCACATATTTATTTAATGCTGACTGACATACGCAACACGTCTTGTCAAAGTGCGCTCAACCCATCGGTTCCCTATTCCCCACCCCACCACAAATCCTCCGGGTGAGTCCCGCCCCGAGCGTCAGCCCGCTCGCTGCCTGCCCTCTTCCCTTGCACGCACTCTCTCTCTCTCTCTCTCTCCGAACGGGATCTCCCAGGATATCCTACAGCCCTCAGCGGGCGCTCCCGCGCACGCGCACTGACTTCCCTAGTGACGCAAATCGGGGCGAGTCGCTGTAACAAATACGGAATGATACGTCACAACCGGCCGCAGATTGCGGCTGGGAAAGCAGCAGCGGGAACACACAGTGGAACAGCCACCGCTGCTCCGTAGAGGCTGGTGAGTGGAGGAGACACGTGTGCAGCCTCCTATGGGATGGGATGGGGGGGGGGGAGGCAAAGGAGGGCACAGCGCAGCTCTGTTCCTCCTGCACTGGTGCATGAAGGAAGGAGCGGGGGGAGAGTTCCGCTTGCTCTCTGCAGGAGGCGAGAGTGTCCCTGTCTCTCTGTGTCAGAGGGTGGCCCCCTCAGTCTTTGCCTACGTGCATTACACAGATTGGGGCAGAAAACTGGTTTCACAACCGAACCCAGTTTTTCAAAACGAGCGGCGGAAGGTGTTCTCTTCGTTTTTAAAAGCATGGCAGCTTTTGCTTGTTTGTTGCAGTCTTTTCCTTCGTCCTGCTCTTTTGTGGTTGCGTATGGTATTTACATTATGGTTTTATCCTGCCCCCCTTCCTCCGAGGAGTTCCGTGTACTTTATGTGGATTTACACTCATAACAACCATCCCGTGAGGTACGTTACACTGAGACCTGGTGTCACCCATCCACCCCCTGAGATAATCCAGAATGCTTCATGGCTGTGTACTATAATAGTTCCTATTTTGTTGTGTTTTTATCCTGCCCTTTTTCTAAAGAACTCCAGGTAGCTATGTGGTTCTCCCTTCCTCCATTTTATCCTTGCCTTGCAGCAACAATCCTGTTTGATAGGTTAGCCTGATAATGTGTGGCCGGATGAGCTGTGCAGAGATATGAACTTCCCAGTCCTAGTCCAGCATTCTAGACACTGGCTGTCTACAATTTACAGTTGTTGTTGTTCAGTCGCACAGTCGAGTCCGACTCTTCACGACCCCATGGACCAGATCACGCCAGGCCCTCCTGTTTTCCGCTGTCCTCTGAAGTTTGCTCAATTTCATGTTCGTTGCATCTATGACACTGTCTAACTATCTCATCCTTTGCCGTCCCCATCTTCTTTGACCTTCAATCTTTCCCAGCATCAGGGTCTTCTCCAGTGAGTGCTCCCTTCTCATTTGGTGGCCAAAGTATTTGAGCTTCAGTTTCATTATCTGGCCTTCCAGGGAACAGTCAGGGTTGATTTCTTTTAGGATTGACTGATTTGATCTTCTTGCAGTCCAAGGGACTCTCAAGAGTCTTCTCCAGCACCATAGTTCAAAAGAATCTATTCTTCGGCGCTCGGCCTTCCTTATAGTCCAACTCTCACAGCCATACATGACTACTGGGAATACCATTGCTTTGACCATGCGGACTTTTGTTGGCAGAGTGATGTCTCTACTTTTTATCATGCTGTTTAGGTTTGCCATCGCTTTCCTCCCAAGGAGCAGGCGTCTTTTAATTTCATGGCTGCTGTCACAGTCTGTGGTGATCTGGGATCCCAGGAACGTGAAGTCTGTCATTACTTCCACGACTTCCCCTTCTATTTGCCAAGGGCTGATGGGGCCGGATGCCATGATCTTAGTTTTTTTGATATTGAGCTTCAAGCCCACTTTTGCGCTCTCCTCTTTCACTCTGATCCGGTTCTAACTGTCGCTTCTTGGCCCTTATACAGGTTTCTCAAGAGACATGTGAGGTGGTCTGGTACTCCCATCTCTTTAAGGACCTGCCATAGTTTGTTGTGATCCACACAGTCAAAGGCTTTAGCATAGTCAATGAAGCAGAAGTAGATATTTTTCTGGTACTCTCTTGCTTTCTCCATAATCCAGCGAATGTTGGCAATATGATCTCTCGTTCCTCTACCTCTTCGAAACCCAGCTTGTACTTCTGGTAGTTCTCTATCCACGTACTGTTGAAGCCTAGCTTGTAGGATCTTGAGCATGACCTTGCTAGCGTGTGATATGAGTGCAATTGTGCGATAGTTTGAACATTCCTTGGCATTGCCCTTCTTTGGGATTGGAATGTATACTGATCTTTTCCAATCCTGTGGCCACTGTTGCGTTTTCCAAATTTGCTGGCAAATGGAGTGCAGAACTTTAACAGCATCCTCTTCTAAGACTTTGAATAGCTCAGCTGGGATACCATCACCTCCACTAGCTTTGTTGTTAGTAATGCTTTCTAAGGCCCATTTAACTTCACATTCCAGGATGTCTGGCTCGAGGTCAGTGATTATACCGTCGTGGTTGTCAAGGACATCGAGGTCTTTCTTGTATAGTTCTTCTGTGTATTCTTGCCATCTTTTCCTAATCTCTTCTGCTTCTGTTAGGTCCCTACCGTTTTTGTCCTTTATCATGGCCAGCTTTGCATGGAACGCTCCCTTGATTTCTCCAATTTTCTTGAAGAGATCTCTAGTCCTTCCCATTCTATTGTTTTCTTCTATTACTTTGCACTGTTCATTCAGGAAGGCCTCCTTATCTCTCCTTGCTGTTCTCTGGAAATCTGCGTTCAGTTGGGTAAATCTTTCCTTTTCGCCTTTGCCTTTCGCTTTCCTTCTTTCCTCTGCTATTTGTAAAGCCTCATCAGAAAGCCATTTTGCTTTCTTGCATTTCTTTTTCTTTGGTATGGTGGTGATTGCTGCCTCCTGTACAATGTCACGAACCTCCGTCCATAGTTCTTCAGGCACTCTATCTATCAAATCCAGACCCTTGAATCTATTCTTCACCTCTACTGTATATTCATCAGGGATGCGATCTAGGTCAAACCTGAATGGCCTCGTGGTTTTCCCAATTTTCTTCAGTTTAAGTCTGAATTTTGCAATGAGTAGCTCATGATCTGAACCACAGTCAGCTCCAGGTCTTGTTTTTACTGACTGAATAGAGCTTCTCCATCTTTGACTGCAAATTATATAGTCAATCTGATTTCGGTGTTGCCCATCTGGTGATGTCCATGTGTAGAGTCGCCTCTTAGGTTGTTGGAAAAGGGTGTTCGCTATGACCAGTGTGTTCTCTTGACAAAACTCTGTTAACCTTTGCCCTGCTTCATTTTGCTTTCCAAGGCCAAACTTGTCTGTTATTCCAGTTACCTTTTGACTTCCTACTTTAGCATTCCAGTCCCCTATGATGATGAGGACATCATTTTTTGGTGTTAGTTCTAGGAGGTGTTGTAGGTCTTCATAGAACCGGTCCACTTCAGCCTCTTCTGCATCAGTGGTTGGGGCATAGACTTGGATTACTGTGATGTTGAATGGTTTGCCTTGGAATCGGACTGAAATCATTCTGTTGTTTTTGAGATTGTATCCCAGTACTGACTTTTGCACTCTCTTGTTGACTATAAAGGCCACACCATTTTTTCTACGTGATTCCTGGCCACAGTAGTAGATATAATGGTCTTCTGAGTTAAATTCGCCCATTCCTGTCCACTTTAGTTCACTGATTCCTAAGATATCGATGTTCAGTCTTGCCATCTCATTTTTGACCACGTCAAGCTTACCTTTATTCATAGATCTTACATTCCAGGTTCCTATGCAGTATTGTTCTTTGCAGCATCGGACTTTCCTTTCACCTTCAGACACATCCACAACTGAGCGTCCTTTCGGCTTTGGCCCAGACGCTTCACTCTTTCTGGGGTTACTTGTACTTGCCCTCTGCTCTTCCTCAGTAGCATATTGGACACCTTCCGACCTGAGGGGCTCATCTTCCAGCGTCATATCTTTTAGCCTTTTGATACTGTCCATGGGGTTTTCTTGGCAAACATACTGGAGTGGGTTGCCATTTCCTTCTCCAGGGGATCACGCTTGGTCTGAGTTCTCTGCTGTGGCCTGTCTGTCTTGGGTGGCCCTTCACGGCATAGCCCACAGCTTCATCGAACTACGCAAGCCCCCTCGCCACGACAAGGCAGTGATCCATGAGGGGGTATTTACAGTACCCTGGCACTATTCTGATGTATTCACTGGATTAATGACATGCTTGGAGAAACATCCCTTGCTCTGCAGAATGTTCTGATCTACAGAATGTGTGCTGCCCTGAGCTATTGGGTGGGCTATAATTATGGGATATATCTAATTTTAAATAAATCCATTTAAGCAGCTGCAGTGTGCAGCAGCAGCTTGCATGATGCATTAATGTTTGTGTGCATGCACTGACGTTGATTTATGTTCAAAGCATGACAGAGCCACGTACCACTTGAAGATCTAGCTTCTAGGGCTCTTGTGAATTAAGCTGAACCTTTATGAATGATTATTCTTGCCAGGATGTTCAACGTTTTTGAGCCTGCAGGCACCTTTGAAGTTCTAACATAGGGTGGTGGATGCAACCACAAAATGGTTGCCACAGGAGGTGGAGCCAACTGAAAAATGCCAAGTTGTGGGTTTGCCTATCTGCAAACTAATGGTACATTCCCTTGTGAATGTGTTGAAGTGAACTCCAGCCCATGAAATCTAATGCCCCAGTAAATCTACTACTCCTGAAGGTGCCAAAAGACTCCCCCCCCCCCCAATTCTATATGTATTGTACCACACACATTTGATTTTGTCTAGCTAAGAAAAGCTCTTTATTTTCTAGTGGGAAGACATGCATTTTTTTCTGGAAAATTTGAAATGAGCCAAACCTCCACTGTGCATTTTTAAAAGTTTTTTTCCCCCTCTGGGCAGAGACCAGGCTGGGGAGGAGGAAGTCAGCCACTGGCTTTCCAAGCTTACTGTTTAAGAAATGCTAATAGGAGTCTTTGACTCCTGGGTTCCATTTTCTCCAAACATCTTCCAATTTCTCTTGATCCATCAATTTAAAAAAGGTCCTTGGTAACTTTCCAATTTTGTCGTCTCCCTTCTTAGATTGTCTATCCAGTTCATTATTTACAGTACCATTAAAATCACCTGCCACCACCACTTCGTCATAAGACACTTGATCAAACTCACTCATCAAGTCTTGAAAAAAAAATTCTTTGGCACCATTTGGTGCATACACATTAACAATCAAAGTCTTTTTTTGATGCATCGATATTTCTACTCCAACGTATCTACCTTCTTTGTCTTTAAAAATTTCTTTGGGATTCAATTCCTTCTTTACATAAATTACTACACCTTTTACCTTTTTGTCTGTTAGTGAGTAAAATTCTTCACCTAATTTTTTATTGATCAAAAATTTATTATCAAATTTCCTAAACTGAGAGCCAGTTTGGTGTAGTGGTTAAGTGTGCGGACTCTAATCTGGGAGAACCGGGTTTGATTCCCCACTCCTCCACTTACACCTGCTGATGTGACCTTGGGTCAGTCGCAAGCTCTGGCACAGCTGTCCTTGAAAAAGAGCAGTTTGTGTCAGAGTTCTCTCAGCCCCACCCACCTCACAGGGTGTCTGTTGTGGGGAGGGGAAGGGAGAGGAGTTTGTAAGCCGCTCTGAGACACCTTTGGGTAGTGAAGGGCGGGGTATAAATCCAATCTCTTCTTCTTCTTCTTCTTCTTAATAATTGAGTTTCTTGCAAGCAGATGATATTACATTTCTGTTTTTCCAACCAGTGTCTAATTAATTTTCTCTTATTGGGTGAGTTTAGTCCATTTACATTCCAAGATAAAAATTTGTACTCCATAATGATTCTTTATATATCTCCAAAATCTGTTATATTGTCAGCCTTGAATCTCAGCAAATCGTTCATTGTCGTTATCGAATATTTCAAAGCATGGTAGTTGAATGATAATCCAAACGGAATCTCCCACCTAAACCTAATCTGCATCTGTCTCAATTTATCCGCCAACTTCTTATACTTTTTCCTTTCCAGTATCATCATTCTTGGGAGTTCTCTCAGTATAATTACCTTCTTACCTTCAATTTCCAGGAACGTTGCCCCTCCTTCAAGCAGGTATAAGTGTGGTGCACTCACAGCCCCTTGATTATCCTGATTTTTTTTGGGGGGGGGGCCATCGTCTGGGCATAGAGTAGAGGTCACTTGGGGTGGGGGGGAGGTATTTGTGAACTTCCTCCATTGTGCAGCGGGTTGGACTAGATGACCCTGGAGGTCCCTTCCAACTCTTATTTCTTGGGATCTGACAGTGACTTCAGGCTTGAACAGAAGTACAATTCCTCTTCATCTCTCCGGACAAGACAGGACAAAGGATGTCGTGGATAACAGAAGGTGAACTGTCGATGCTGGAGAGATTCTGTGCCAGTGTGTTAAAAGTAAGTTAAAATGGTGTGTGTTTGTGTTAAGTGCCATCAAATTGTTTTCGGCTTATGGTGACTCTGTGAATTAATGACCTCCAAAACGCCCTATCACTGACAGCCTTGCTCAGGTCTTGCAAACTGAGGGCTGTGGCTGCCTTCGTTGAGTCAATCCATCTCAGGTTGGGTCTTCCTCTTTTCCTGCTGCCTTCAACTTTTCCTCGCATTATTGTCTTTTCCAGTGACTCCTGTCTTCTCGTAAGGTGACCAAAGTATGACAGCCTCAGTTTAGTTATTTTAGCTTCCAGGGAGAGTTCAGACTTGATTTGATCTAGAACCCACATATTTGTCTTTTTGGCAGTCCATGGTATCCATAAAACTATTACATTACATTTGCGATTTATATACCGCCCTATCCATGAGGCTCATTTACCACCCTATCCATCAGGCTCATGCGATTTATATACCGCCCTATCCATGACGCCTTGTTAAATTGCATCTTGTTCACATCCGCCACTTTACCAGTGTGTTCAGATCTCGTTGAATTTTGTCTCTGTCTCCTAGTGTGTTCGCTGCTCCTCCCAACTATCCTCCAGCTGACACTATATTTCTTGTATGCAGGTTTCTGAACAGGCTAGGCTGTGAGGGAATCCTCAATAAACCCTGGCTGTAAAGGATGACTTGGTTAATAGCTTTTAGGCTTGGTAGTTAAATAGAGCCTGTATGCACAAGTCTATGAGATGGCAGGGATCCGTAACAATGAATGACCATAACCTCCCTGGGACTGCTGGCAGCCTTCAAGAGGCTGATGGGAAACTGCTGTTGGGGGGGAAATATAGACCTAAACAGACTCTCAGTGCCATCCTAAGCAGAGGTATGCACTTTTTAGTCCATTGACTGCACTGGCCTTAGAAGGGTGTAACTCTGCTTAGTACTGTACTGTTTGTCTGTTTCCATCTTTTAGGAATTAACTTCTAAGGGTGGAGTAAACAGGAGTTCAGAAAGTGCTACTGGTCTCAAATCTAAGTATATGAATATTTATGCCCTGCCTTTCTCCCCGGTGGGGACCCAGAGTGGTTTACAACATCCCCCCCCCTCCATTTTTATCTTCACAAGAGCTTGGGCTGAGAAATAGCTGGGGGTCCCGGGTCCCACCTGTGACCTCCCTGCAGAGGTTAGGTTCTCTTCCTCCTTTTAAGTTATGATTCCTCATGGTCTCCACTATGACTTATCTAAAAATTATATTCAGGTACCCTGTTGAGTATCTGGCTGCGCCCTTTCTCCCTGCTCTGCCCACTGTCTGTGTTCTAGACCTTTCCTTTCACTCTTCTTAAGACATGAGCTTGGGTAAAGGGCTCAGGTAAAACTGGGCGGACTGTCATTCCCTTTCACCTCAGCCTCTCTTTGTGTCTTTACATCCAGGCTGGACCGATGCCCAAGCATGTGGCGTTCATCATGGATGGCAACCGGCGTTACGCTCAGAAGCATAATGTGAAGAAACTAGAAGGGCACACACAGGGATTTGCGAAACTGGCACAGGTGGGGAGTACCTTTTCTAAATAGGATGAATCATAGAATCACAGAGTTGAAAGGGGCCATACAGGCCATCTAGTCCAACCCCCTGCTCGATGCAGAATCAGCCTATAGTATCCCTGACAAGTGTTTGTCCAGACGCTGCTTAAAGACTGCCAGTGCAGGGAAGCTCACCACCTCCCTAGGTGGCTAATTCCACTGTTGCTCCACTCTTACTGTAAAAAAGTTTTTCCTAATATCCAGCCGGTACTTTCCTGCCCTTAATTTAAACCTATTATTGCGAGTCCTGTCCTCTGCTGCCAACGGGAACAGCTCCCTGCCCTTCTCTAAGCGACAGCCCTTCAAATACTTAAAGAGAGCAATCATGTTCCCCCTCAACCTTCTCTTCTCCAGACTAAACATCCTCAAGTCCCTCAGCCTTTCCTCATAGGGCTTGGTCTCCAGGCCCCCGATCATCCTCATTGCTCTTCTCTGCACATGCTCCATTCTGTCCACATCCTTTTTGAAGTAAGGCCTCCAGAACTGCACACAATACTCCAGGTGTGGCCTGACCAATGCAGTGTACAGTGGGACTATGACACCTTGTGATTTGGATGTTATACCTCTGTTGATACACCGTAAGTTTGTATTAGCCTCTTTTGTCGCCGCATCACACTGGTGCTCATATTTAACTTTCGGTCCACCCTTACCCCCAAGATCTTGTCCACACACACTGCTACTCAGAAGTGTATCCCCCATCCATTATGCATGTTCCTCATTTTTGTTACCCAGATGTAGAACTTGGCACTTATCCTTGTTAAATTGCATCTTGTTCACATCCACCACTTTTCCAGTGTGTTCAGATCTCGTTGAATTTTGTCTCTGTCTTCTGGTGTGTTCACTGCTCCTCCCAATTTGGTGTCATCTGCAAATTTAATGAGTAGCCCCTTCACACCCTCATCCAGATCCAAATATTGAAAAGTACGGGACCTAGAACTGAGCCCTGTGACTCCCCACTGGACACCTCACTCCGTTCAGATGAAATGCCATTGATAACTACTCTCTGAATGCAATTCTCTAACCAGTTCCCTGTCCACCTAACTATCCTACAGTCCAGTCCACAGTCCTCTAGTTTACCCATCAGGACATCATGGGGAACCCTGTCAAAAACTTTACTGAAATTCAGGTAAACAACATCAACAGCATTCCCTCGATCCAGTAAATTCGTCACTTGATCAAAGAAGGAAATGAGGTTGGTCTGGGGGACCTGTTGGGGACAAATCCATGCTGACTTTCCTGGATCACCAGGTTGTCCTTTAGATGTTGGCAGATTGATCCCTTTAAAATCTGTTCCAGTATCTTCCCTGGGACAGAGGTCAGACTGACTGGCCTGTAGTTTCCTGGGTCATCCCTCCTCCCTTTTTTGAAAGTTGAGATAACATCTGCCCTCCTCCAGTCTTGTGGCACATCTTCCGTCCTCCTAGAGGTCTGGAAGATGATGGACAAAGTCTCTGCAAGCTCTCTAGAAAGTTTTTCGAGCACTCTTGGGTGCATACCTTCTGGCCCGGGGGATTTGTACTCATTCAGGGCAGCCAGGTGCTTCTCAACTACCTCTCTGTCCGTGTCAACCAGCAGCCCAGATGCTGTGACTTGCCTACCACCATCTCTAGATGAGCCTGTTCTCTTCTTCAGGGGAAAAAACTGAGGCAAAAGAGGCATTGAGCCTTTCTGCTTTCTCTCTGTCCTCTGTCAGAGTTTCTCCATTTTCACCCAACAGTGGGCCCATTGCCTCTTTTATCTTGCATTTGCTCCTCACAGATCTGAAGAAATGTTTCTTTTTGTAGTGCGCCTCCCTGGCCAGTTTTAGCTCACTGTGAGCTTTGGCCTCTCTGATTGCTGTGATCTACAGTGCCTAGCAACCTGCAGATACTCTTCTTTATCCTTGCCCCCATTTCTTGAACATTTCCTGTTTCTCCCTCAGCACATCACGCAGCTCTCTGTTCATCCACATTGGCTTCTTGGATCCCCTACCATGTTTCCTTCTTGTTGGGAAAGCAACAGCTTGAGCTTACAAGAGCTTTTGTTTTAAGGAGAGCTCACCCTTCACTTGCCCCTTTCCCTCCCAGCAGTCTTGTCTATAGAATGATTCTTATCGTACCTCTGAGTTGCGTGACTGTGGGCACTTTGCAGAGTATGTCTCCCAGCACACATCAGGGAAGTTGAAGTCACCAATAACTACCAGGTCATGTTGTTTGGATACCCTGTCTAGCTGTTCAAGGAGGGTGGCATCCACCTCCTCATCCTGGTCAGGAGGTCTGTAGCAGACATCAACCACAATACTGTTTGTCCTTCCTTCCCGTATCCTCACCCAGATACTTTCCACTGGGCTGTCGCCCTCCTCCTGCAGTATTTCCTGACAAACAACCCCTCTCTTCACACCCTTCTCCGCCTCCTCTTTGACCCTTTCGGTTTTTCTTGAACAACTTGTATCCATCCACGACTACATTCCAGTCATGTGAATCATGCCACCAAGTCTCTGTAATGCCTGCTAAATCATATCCCTCTGTCTGCATCGGAAGCTCAAGCTCCTCCTTCTGATTAGCCAAGCTTTGAACATTGGTACATTGACACCTGAAGCCCCGCACTTTTGGCTTCATTAGACCCAGCCCTACCAGGTAGGTCTCTGTTGTTTGCTCTCCTTCATTTAAATCCCTGTGTTGGTCATCTCCTTCCCCTTGGGTTGTCAGTTTAAAGCCCTCTTGATGAATCTCTCCAGGTTTCTGCCAAACACGTTCTTCCCCAACCTTGACAGGTGAAGTCCATCATGTGCCTAGTAGGTTATCATCCAGAAAACCTAGCTCGTGGTCCCAGAATCCAAATCACTCCTGCCAGCACCACCAGTGCAGCCAGTGGTTCACCTCATTATTATCTGTTCCCATCGTATTCCCCTTCCTATGACAGAAAGGATTGAAGAAAACTCCACCTGTGCTCCCATTCTTTTCAGCTTCCCCCCAAGAGTGTCATAGTCAGCCTTAATTTTTTTGATGTTGTTCACAGCCGTGTCATTAGTTCTTACATGGACCAACACAGATGGTTAATGCTCTGTAGGTTTGATGAGTTTAGGGATCCTCTCTGTAATACCTTTAATTTTAACCCCAGGCAAGCAACACAACTCTCGGGCCAGGGGGTCAGGCCTGGACACATGACGTTCCATACCCCTCAGCAGGGAGTTACCTATGGCCAGCACCTTCCTTTTCCTTGCAGTGCCATTTCTTTGTATCTCCATGACCTTCTTCCTCTGTCTCCCTTGTGTTTGTGATATTTCCACTGGCAGTGTTTCTATCTCTGCCTCCAGCACAAGGGCTTGGAATTGATTCCTCAGTTCTAATGTCATGGAGTGCCGTCTCACTTGATGCCTTTGGGGTCTTGCTGTAGCACTCTGAGGAGTCTTGTTAGGGCAGTCAGCCACACTGTTGTTGCCTTGACTGGTCTCTCCTTCCCTATGCAGGGCATCAAGGCTTCTGTTAATGAACTCCTCCCCTTCCTTGATGCAGAGGTCCAGTTCTGGCTCCCTGACTTACTCTATTTCTGCTACAGAGCTTGACCGTAGGATGCTTTTTTTAATCTCTGAGGGATTATTTTTTTGTCTGGATATTAATAAGAAAATCTTGCCAATTTATGTAAATATATTGGTTTGGTATGATTAGAGAAAGCAAGGTGTTAGGCTTAAAGTTACGGGCAGGTATGAGGTAAAGGTGAATTTGGATCCTTCAGGGGTAGTTGAGGCCCCTTCCCTAAAGTCCTAAGGCTTTGCTTTTTTAAAAAAAGTGTTAGCATCTAACCAAGGGGCTGTTGAATCTTGTTGAGCCTGTGGATGCTCCTGGAATTTTGAGAAAGTGTTATGGGTGCCACCACAAAATGGCTGCCATAGGATACAGGACCAGTTGCAAAATGGCTGCCATGAGGGCTGGTCACAAGATGATGGGAGGTTCCAAGCCAAGTATCCTCCTTCGATAAAGCTAGCTATTTTACAATAGGCATTCCCTGCAGACTCAGATGTGATGTTGCCTACCTCACTGAAGTGAAAAAAGAGCAAGAATTGGCTCCCTGCTTTGAAGAAGTAGCAAGTGGGTACTATGGGGACCCTGGTGCAGAATGATACTGTAGCCTTACAGAGATGTAAGGAACAGTGTGGGGATAATATTCTGTTCATAAGAAGTAACCTTGTTCTAGACTTCTGTTTTCTAGCCTATGAGTTTAAAAGCATCAACTTGATTGACAAGTCTCTGGCAGTGTTCTCTCTAAGCTGAGTAAGTGTGAGCTAGCTCACAGTTTTTTAGCCTCTGGCTCACACAGTTTTGTCTTCGCTCAGGAAGGATGGCTCCAGAGCAAACTAATTTATACAGTAGCCAAATTACTCGTTCACGACTTTAATGCCAGTAGCTCACAAAGTAGAATTTTTGCTCACAAGACTCCACAGCTTAGAGGGTGCATTGGTCTGTGGTACATTAAAAACAAAGTATAACTGGAAAGCCAGTGTGGTTGTAATGGTTAAAGTTTTAGCCTAGGGCTGTGGAGCCCTGGCTTCAAATTTTCACTTGGCCGTTAAAGTTGCTTAGTGATTTTGAACCAGTCTCTCTCAGCCCAGCAGAGTTGTTGTGAGGATAAAATGGGGCAGGTGTGGGGAACATGACCATCAGCTCCTGGAAGGGAAGATAGGGGTAAAAATGCATGCTACTTCTGAAGCATTAAAATAAGTTTCAGATGCTTTTCACTGCTTGTATGTCTTTCCTTGCCTTAAGGGTACCAACCAACACAACATTTGTGGCTTTGGGCCCACTTATGGAAAAGAGCCAAGCTCTGCTATGGGCCCTGGGGCTCTGGCTCAGTGGTAGAGCATTTACTTGCCATGGAGAAGGTCCCCAGTTCAACCCCTGGCATCTGCAGTCAAAAGAATCAGGTTGGAAGTGAGGTAGAAGACCTTGACCCGAGACGTAGGAGACCAGCTGCCAGTCAGACTAGACAAAACTGTGGGGTTGTTCCAAATGACACCACTTTCCTTTGGAAGCCCCATTTTTGCTGTGACTGTCAATGCAATACAATGGCAGTAGGGTTTCTAGATAGTAGGCTTCCGTGCCCCAGTGCCCACGGTGGGCACCCCATGCCACCACTGGCTTTTCCAAGGATTTTTTAAAAGCTGATAATTGATATAGTGATAAACTGGTGTATTGTTATGTCAATAGCCACTTTTTAAAACCCTCAAAAAAGGTCCCAGTGGTATGGAGGGCTTGTTGTAGGGCTGCCACAGGGGCTGAGGAAGAGAAAATGGCTTCTGTGCAGGCAGGACTGAAAAAATCCAGACTTTCCTGCCCACACAGCAGCCATCCAGAGTTTTCCGCAGTCTTTCCTAAACATTTGCAGCAGTGCAGGTTTTGAAAACATTGGAGAAGAGATGGGAGGTGTAGAAATGCACCACAATGTGGTGGAAAAGCAGAGAGAAAAAACCAACAGCAGCAAACCCAGGGCAAATAACCCACATGAAGAAGGCGCGTTGACAAATGGTCTGATTCAACATAAGGTGGCTTCATATTTTCAGTGTGTCTACACTGGTTCCCTCTTGACCTTTTTGTTTAAAATTTGCCATAAATCCATGAGATTGAGAAACTTGCTTGTACATTTTGCCCTGATTCTTAAAATTCTGGGCGTAGCACGTGAACTGGGGATGCATTCAGGTTAGATTGCATTCCTCAGTCCCTCAACAGCTCCCCAGAAGTCTAGATGAGAACTTGCAGCTGCATCCCATTGCATAAGATAGCTGGGGGCAGGTGGGGAATTCACAGACTATTAGAAGTATATTGACCATAACCTGCTAATTATGTTGTGTTTATCAGCATCAAAAGATAGGTGTTTATGAGAGGACGTTGCCCGGCCATTCATCTGAGTTGAAGATATTTGTCTTCTTCCACAAGATGACTGCGTGCAGTCTTGCTTGGGGTTTGGAATATGTTATAATTGTACTATATATTTACTTCAAAGTGTTTGTGGGGAGTAGAAATGAACCTGTGACCAAGACTAGGGGGAAAAGATAATTATTATATAAACTTCCGCTGTATCCCAGTTGCTCTGCTGGTGCAGTCACAAAGAGTCTTGTGGCACTTTTTAAGGACCAGCACATGTATTATGGGAGAAGGCGTTGTAGGACTCTGAATGATGCATGAATTGGGCTGTTAGTCTTTAAGGTGCCACAAGATTTTCGGTTGCTCGGACTACAGTATATACTACTACAGCTGCCCCATCACCTGCTACCACTTTTTTATCCCATCCTTCCTTCAAGGAGCTTGCGACAGTGTATGTGGTTCTCCTTTCCTCTGTATCCTTGCAACAATCCTACAAGGTAGGTTAGGATGAGAGAGTGCGACTGGCCCAGTATAGTGGTTAGAGTGACTACAATCTAGCTTGGAATCCACACTCTGCCACAGAGATTCACTGGGCATCACTCACTCTTGGCCTAATCTACCTCACAGGGTTGTTGTGAGGAAAATGGAGGAGAGTAGACAGATGTAAGCTGTTTTGGGTACCCATTGGGAAGAAAAATAGGATAGAAATACCTAAATAAGGCCCCGGTCACGTGGAGAATTTGCCGTGCGAAAGGCACGAATGTCGGGCGGGTTTTCAGGGCGTGATCACACGGCAACATCTGGGAAGCGTAGCGCACCCGTGGCGTCCCACTGAAGATGCGGAGTTAAAAAGTACCAAGGAAAGTGCACTAGTATCCGAAAAACAGGTGGGCATCTGATCGCAGGAGCGCTAGTATCCCGTGGCATCCGGCGCCCGTCCACATCCCGTCGCAAACCGGATGTTTTTCGTAAGCGCATGCGCACAAACACAAAACAAAGCACTGCTGCTCCGTGGAACTGTGCACAAACGCGAAACACTTGTGTGATCGCACCGCTTCTTTGCCACGCTGCAGCATCACTGTGTGATCGCCAGCTAACAGCCGAAGCACCGTGTGATCGGGCTACCGCACTTTATTTTGCTCCGGGGCGAACAGCCACACCTCCCCCCCACGTTATCTGGCCCGTGTGACCGGAGCCTAAGGTCATTCAGAAGCTTCATGGTAGTCCAGCACTCTATCTGCTACATCACTCTGCCTCTTAGTAGAAAATGTTGCTATTGACGTTTGTGTATTCTTCATGCTGTAAGGATGGTACTGTCTGCCACTTTGGCCTTCAGTAATACTTTCCCTCTTTACAGACTCTGCAGTGGTGTTTGTCTCTGGGTATCCGGGAAGTCACAGTTTACGCCTTCAGTATTGAGAACTTCAAGCGGTCCAAGGAAGAAGTAGATGGATTGATGGAACTAGCAAGGCAGAAATTCATCCGTCTTCTAGAGGAACAGTAAGAGTTTCCCTTCCAACCTCAGTCCCCCCAAACCCTAATGGGAAACTCTGCCAGGAAAATTCTAGAACAAAGATTATGGGTAGAGAATGGTGGGAAAGCAAGAGAAAAAGTACAGATCAAGTCAACAATGGACATGAAGTATAACTTTTAGTTAAGTACAAGGTAGAGGCCTTCAAGGAATCATTGTGTGTATACGGGGAGGGGTGCCGGGGAAACTTCCTTTTCTCACCTAGTTTTTCATTCCCTCTCCAAAAATACTGTGAGCTCTTAGGGCCTTGAGCAGAAGTGGTACCTATTTATCTACTTGCAATTTCTTGCTTTCGAACTGCTAGGTTGGCAGGAGCTGGAACTAGAGATGGGAGCTCACTCTATCATGCGGCACCCGGGTCTTGAACTACTGAACTACTGACCTTCCACAGCCTGCAGTTCAGCGTCTTAACCACTTGAGCCACCGCAGCTCCTAGTTAACCAACTACTATATCGTTATTATACTCGTATAGTATTGTGGTTGTGATGGTGAAGTCTTGCCACAAAAATGTGTGTGTAAGTGGGCAGGAAGGTGGGAGTAAAATGTGAGGAAAAACCGATATGCCTATAAAAAAGAAACTGATGAGAAGGTGGTCACACAAGAGTCTCCCATGGTCTACTGACTAGCCAAGAAGATGGCTGAGGGGGTCACCTATGCTGGAATTTATGGGCCAAAATGGCCACAGGTCTGTTGTTCGTATATCGCAGTTTGAGTTGTCATATCCTGAAATTAGGTATTGGTGTTCAGTGAATACCCTCTTCACAATTTCAGTCTGTGCCATTCTTGGAGAATAAACAAATCAAACAAGATGCTTAACGTGCACTCTTGAAAATACATGTTCATGTTTGAATATGTTTATACTTTTGGGAGGAAAATTCACATTTAGAGAAGATGCATGTCATTATAACTTAGTCTTGCCATTTAGGGCAAGTGTAAACTTGGTATTTACCTTTCTGCATTGTCCTGATTCTCTGGTTATATAATGCTTCTCTGGTCTGGTGATGTGAATTTTCCAGAAAAATTAAAATCCTGAAGGCACTGACAGAGTAGTGTACAATCTTAATACACCTGAAACACTGCCCATGGTGTGCCTTGTATGCAGTTGTGCTCTCATCTATTTCAGCTGAATGTAACTTTAGTCCTTGGAGGTCACTGGCATACATTGTTATTTGCCTTACTTGTCAGTTCCATATCAGATTGGATGCCAAGACATAGCCAGAAATTTCTGGGTGGTGAGGCAGGGGTTGGGGCACAGAGTCAGGGAAGTGGTGTAGGAAGAGGAGGTGCTTGTTGGAGCCCGCCTCCAGCCACATTGGAGTGTGTGTGGCCAGCGGGCAGGGAGGCGCCTTTATTCCCTCCCTGCCTCCGGCCCGCCTCCAGCTGTGTTGGAGCATGTGCGGCTGGCAGGCGGGGGGGGGGGCAACTCTCTTCCCACCCTGCCTCCGGCCCGCTGGCTGCCCCTTGGATGGCACGCCCAGTCCTGTGAGTAGCCATTCCTGACATGGCACGGAGGATGGGCAGGCATGTAGGCAGTGGGGGATGGGTGAGGTGGGCGGCGGCGGGGTCTGTGAGGCACTGAAGCAGCTGACGGTTGTGGGGCATGGCTAACAAGTGACGGGTGTGGCCCTGAAATGCCCACTGTAGTTACGTGCCTGGATGGGTAGGTTCTACCATGCAAGAGGAGACATATAAATAAGAATTTTAGCTTTGGTTGTGATTGGCTATACAGATCAAATCAGGAGAATTTATAATTTTTAAAATTTGGATTACATATATTTATGATTTAATTTTCCCACACCTGGTTTACAGCTCAATAGAATATACATGTATTCCCTCTCACAGTTCCTAGGAATGAAAAATATTAATTACAGTTTTGAAACTTCCACACCATTTTGACAATGGCATCCATTCATTGGTAACTGTAGCCTACCTCACAAGATTAATGTGAAAAGAAAACACAGGAGAATGCTTTGGGTACCCTGTCAGGAAGAAAAACGGGATATAACTGTCTAAATAAAATTTGCTCCTAAATGACAGAAATTTATGTTGGCGTTTTCTTGGTTGGTGGAGCTTAGGATGCTTGAGCTCAATTAGAGTCCAGCTGTATACAGTCTCCAGTGTCTTGGAGCCAAAATGAATCAGAAAAAGATCATGTGTTTCCATCCATCTGTAAAATGCAAATTGCAGTTCATGTCATTTCAGCTTTCATTGAGACTGTACAGGAAAGGGAGCAGATGTTTAACACTTCAGCCTCCATTCAGTGTCATTGCTGAAAACTAGACTCATTGCTTTGCTGTTGACATTTTACAAGAGAAAATAAGTGTGCCTTAGTGTGGTTAAAGTGTATTCAGAGGTCATTTCGGGGGGGAACGCGGGGGAACACAGTTCCCCCGGTGAGGTGCAGGGGGCGGGGCATACAATGAAGCCCCGCCCCCTTCTTCCGGCAGCCCCCTGCTTCCAGCCTCATTCTGTTGCAGAAGGAGGAAGAAGGAGGAGGGTAAGTTGGCGTCCTCCCCCTCTGCCTGGCCGAGGCCACTCCACGTGGCCTCCGCAAGGACTCCCAGCCCCATCCAGGAGCTTCCCCGAGGTAGCTGTGTTAGTCTGTTGCTGCAAAATAGTCCAAGAGTTCAAATAGCACCTTTAAGACTAACCTTTAAGACTAAGACTAACTGAGTGGTGGGTGTGGTCTTATGACACACTTCCGGTGAAGGCAGGGTGTGTGGCATATGCTAATGAATTATGCTAATGAGTTCCCCTAGCTCTTTTTCTACGAAACGACCCCTGAGTGTATTCCCCCTCCCATTTAACGTGCTAATAACAATGCAAGGAGCCAGGTTATGATTAGCAAAACTGAACAGAAGTTAGAGGGTTAAACTCCTTTTCCCTTCTCCGCATGGCCCTAATGCAAATTGAAGTTGCAGGAGCCTGTAATTTTGCATTGGATTCTGTTATCTTGGAAAAGGGCTGTCTTACAAATGTTTTAAATAAATGTTACAAATGTTTTAAATAAATGCATTTGTATAGGTGGAGATGATCCTCAGCTATTTTTTATTTTAGAAACTTCATTTGTTGCCATTCCTATTTTATTTATTAATATACCCCAACTTTCTTCTTGGCTTGGCTTAAGGCAGCTTTTTGTTATGGTAGTCATTAATATCAACAAAGGAAAATAACACCCTAGTCTACAGTAGCTTAAGAAGTATAGTAGACCTTCACCATTCAGAAGGGGATCTGTTCCCGAGATGGCAGTGAATGGTGAAATGCGTGAATACAGAGAGGCAGAGGGTCTAGTGGCTCCCTGTAGCAAAGCAGCCACATTTCCCCTGAAAAAGTAACAATCATCATCCCTGAGCATGTGGTGAGAGTGAACGTGCCCACAGTACTGATGAACTAATGGCCATGCGAAGGCAGGTGGGAGGGCAAGCATCCTTGCACCTGTTGCTTTGGCCAGCATGCAACAGGTTTATGTGCTTGGGGTAGCTGCATTATGTGGTTGGGTCAAGGACTGTGAATAAGTGAAACTACATGTCACAAAGCTGTGAATGGTGATGATCTAGTGCAGTGATGGCGAACTTTTTAGAGACCGAGTGCCCAAACTGCGACCCAAAACCCACTTATTTATCGCAAAGTGCCAACACAGCAATTTAACCTGGATACTGAGGTTTTACTTTAGAAAAAACAGCTCATACATTAACTTAAGATGGTCCAAACAAAGTAAGGAAAGCAATCCCAAATGCTTTCATTTACTTAAAATTATTTGGCAGAGAATTCGACACTTTAATGGTGGTCTGGGCCTGGCTGGGGCGATGGCACGCATGCCCACAGAGAGGGCTCTGAGTGCCACCTCTGGCACCCGTGCCATAGGTTCGCCACCACTGATCTAGTGTAACCCCACAGTTCATTGCTGGTATAGTTCTTTATTTCACTTTTGCTGGTGAACTATGCTGTTGCTATAGACCTTCACAGGAAGGGCTAAAATCTGTCCTGACATCTTTCATGTGACTCCCCTGCACTTTTTTCTGCTTATGAGAAAACCCTTGTGACTTAAACTCAAGCAGCTCTGTCATGGGATTTAGCAACCTCAGCTATACCATCTTGGGCTCATCTACGGCCTCATCCTCTAATGTGACATATGCTGTCACATGTCGGCAATGCTCTTCTGTTCTCTGCAAAGGATAGACTGGTCATTCCCTGTGTGAAAGAATAAGGGGTCATAAATCTGGCACTAAAAATCACAGTATTTAGAGAACAATGACTGAACACTTTGGCCTTCCAGGGCATTCTGTTCCTGATCTTAAAGTTACCGTTCTTCTATGAAAAAATCCCACACAAAAATGCTGAAGTGATACTTGTAAAAAAAATTAGTACCATCCCTGTCAGGTCTTAACCAAGACTTCTCATCTCTTGCTTACTACAGATACTAATATTTTGCATTTCACACACTATACAGATGTTTACTCCAATTATATCTCTGTATCTCTCATTGCATTTGCTTATCTCATTTCGTACTGTACTAGATTTTGTTTATCTAACAAAAATTGGGAGTGTCTCTCACACCCGCTCTGAATTAACTGATCTTGTTTTGGAACCGGCCTCTCTTTTATTTATTTTATTTATTTATACATTCGATTTATATACCGCTCTGACCCCGAAGGGTCTCTGAGCGGTTTACAGGCAAGTTCCAAATACAATTCCCTATCTAAGGCCACATAGTACACAGGGGTGGGGCTGCCTACCGGCACCCAGGTGGCAGGGCTTGTTGTTCTCCGGCTTCTTCCTCCAGGCGGTCTTTGGGGTCGGCATCCCGTCTCTGGTGTTCAGGAGCAGCTCCAGCTCGGTGGTCTCCGCCGCACCTGCGCCTCCACGTCACCATGCCCTTCCGTGACTCCGACTCCACCGTCGTTGGGTCTCGCCACTTTGATGTTACGCTTGCTGGCCACCAGGGATCTCTTTGAAATACTCCCCCCCCCCCCCCCCATAACCCACCCCCCCTGCCAGTGGACAGGGGGGACCTGGCCACCACCTTTCTTTGGATATATGAATTAGGCCTGATGGATGTATACGCTGGTGCATCTGCTGAAATGAGCTCTGACTTAACAAAAGCTTATTCGGGGGTGGGCGGAGTATATAAGTCTTTAAGGTGCCACTGGACATGTGTTTTAGTCTGCAAATGCATACTAACATGGTTTCCCATTCCCATATATCCCATTTTAAAACTAACGTTTATATGAATCATTTCTTTAGTTACCCAAGGGTCAACTACTGTGCCATTTTAAGCAGAGTTACATCCTTCTCAGCCCACTGTTTTCAGGGTACAACTGTTTAGGATTGCAGTGTTCATCTGATTTGGCATTGCTTGTGCTTGGCTTGTATCTCAACAAATCTCTTCCCTTTTTATAGGGACAATCTGGAGAAACATGGTGTGTGTGTGCGAGTCCTCGGAGACCTGACACTCTTGCCACTAGATATCCAGAAGCTGATTGCCAAGGTTGTGCTGGCCACAAAGCAATACAACAGGTGAGTCCTGCTATAATTTTTCCTATAAACACATTTGTATATATAGGCTATACCCTGGGTTTGCAGCCTCTGAGCTCTAAAACCCCTTGTGGCTCAGTACAGATCCAAATAAGGCTCTTTTTAAAAAGAAAATCAAATATTTAAGTAATTTGGAGGGGTGTGTGGGGGGCTAGAATAACCAGTACATGAATGGAATTGCAGGAAAAGATTTTTAGGGGACTGAAGGGCTTCTTAGAGATGCTTTAAAGAAAGAGAAATGGATTACAAGCAACTAATTGCTTCTGTCAAGCGAGCCATTCTCCGTTTTATGGTGGTGCACTGTAACAATCACACATGGTGCTTCTGTGTATTTTTATTAGCTATTGTAAGATCTTGTGTGTGCCACTTTCCAATAAAGGGCTCACAACAAACAGCATTAGAGATGCAAAAACTTTATAGATTGTGAATCAATATATCTGTTATTAGTAATATGCAGTTGTATAGTTTGCAGCTGTGCAAATGGGTTTTCTATACTGGCTGTTTTCTTTATCTCTTGTTCTAATTTATAGGTGTTTACTTATCTCTCTCTCTCTCTCTCTGTGTATATGTGTGCTCACACACATACACACAGAGCTATCAGATCACATCCTCTCATTCTCTATACAGTATTCCACATAACTTCACATTCCTTGTTCTCTGCAGCATCCTTTGTTGAGTTACTTCCTCTTACATTTATCTTTTCTTAAAAAAAAATGTAACAGGTGTTTTCTGAACATCTGCTTTGCATACACATCGAGAGATGAGATTAGCAATGCTGTGAAGGAGGTGGCGTGGGGTGTTGAACAAAAGTTGCTGCAGCCAAGGTAACCATATTTGCTAGTGTGTTCATGCTTTTGCTGCTCTCCTGCTCACTGATGTAACTTGCGCCTGGGCCTTCCAACCCAAAGCAGATGCCGCTCTGAACCAGACACCCTCCCCATCCCTAGTCCATTTCTCTTGAGATGCAACTGGGCTAGATTAACAAGGGCAGTTTCTCTGGTAGGAACTGTTCTGACAGGTGATCACAAATCCACTTAAGCATGGGGAAGTGGCCATGGCTGTCTTGTAAGAAAGACCACCCATCTGTGCACATTGCCTCTCCATCAAGTGTTCACTCGCACTGAGACTTAGATAAGACCTTTGCCACTTTCCCAAGCCCTGTGCATGCCCCAGGATGCTAAAGGTTGAAGCTGCATCTTCTCTCCTTCGTTCTGCGATTTGGGGAAGGTGAGAAGCAGATGTCTCCTCTGCTGTTCCTTCCATTCTGTATGCAGAAAAATTTCTGCCGCTTCCCTCTCCATTACATGTATTCATATATTTAAATATTTATAAGCCACTTTTCTTCTGACAAGGGACACAGAGGGCCTTACGGCTGAGGACAGCAATGGTTTATTATCAAGCAACAGTCTTATCATCAAGCCTGGTGTCCCGTCCCCCCCCGCTGCAAGTAGGATATGGAATATTAAATGCTATCTGATTAGTTGATTGCTGTTTTATTGTTTTAGATTTTAAGTATAAATGTATTATATATGTATTACGTATTATTACAGTATTTATCAGAATATTGTCAACCGCCCTAAGCCCCGACTGGGGGAAGGGTGGTATAAAAATCAAATAATAAATAAATAAATTAAAACCCTACAAGGAGGTAAAAAGTTGATATCTAAAATATATAAGGTATTGTTACAATGGTATACAGAGGATGAAACAGTTAAGGAGCAGATGATAAAATGGGCAGTTAATATGAATTAAGTTCATTCCAAGATCCATTGGGCAGGGTAAGTCAGAATACAGGCTTAGGGCTAAGAGCCATTTGACTCCTGCCCTTTAACTCATACCCCAAAGGCTTGAGCCTCTGATCAGGCCCAGGCTTTTAAAACCTGCAGCAAGAAGACAGAGAAGCCCTCAGCCTTTTTCTCCTGGCAGCCAAGTAGTCCATAGACCTCCCCCCTCCCTGCTTGTAGAGGACTTGGGTGGGGAAGTTGGTGGCAAGGACACTTAGGCTGGCTGCTGTTCCTAGATAGCATTTTTTTTTGGGGGGGGGGGACCTCGTTTCTAGTCTCCAGGACCTTTTCTGCTCTGAATTCCAAAGGTTAAACTAGTCTGTGTGTGCAGCAGATCCTTTTTGTTAGTGGGCCATTTTTATGTGAACTGGCTCCTTAGATGATAGACCAAAGTACTTGCTTAGGTCCTTTCTGTTCTGCTAAGCCTCTTGAGGAGGTTGGGCCCAAATACTGCTGTATTTTAGTTTAACTGTCTTGCTGATGTTATGGATCTTTATTTAAATTCTTCTGGGATTTTATATAGTCACTTCCAATTTTTTAAAAATACTTGCACAGGTTTTCTTATTACTGCTATATAGTATTTTGGCATTTTAGTACAGAAATTAGGGGGGGAAATCAGGGAATAAGGCTTGGACCAATTAGGAAATAAAGTTTTGTTGTAGCTCTCTGAAGAAAAAGAAAAGTGGGTATCAAGAAAGATGCTTCCTCCTTGCCATTTCTCATCCCCCTGTTTCCTTTTTGGAATTTTTAAGACCATGTGCTCCACCTTCCCAGTGCTTCAGAACACATCTCCCTTGTAGGTAAATTTCCTTTTTTCAAAAGTGGGGAGGGGGGAGACTTGTCAATATCTCTTCTCTGCTTGAAGGATGGAGAATGCTTCCTGTTGAGAAAGGGCTTGGATGTATTTCAGAGAGGGTCATGTGCACTGGTCCCCCAAAAAGATGTGTAATGAAGACCCTGAGGGGGAGTTACAGTGTACCTCTATGCACAGAGATGCTTTGCAGGTCCCCAAGTATGTGAGCTGTCGTGTGTACACCTGTACCATACATTCCAGCGACCACAGCAAGAGGCATTTTGCTACTTAGTAGGCTAACTGGAGTTTTATCTTTTCTCCTTTAGCGATGTGTCAGAATCCTTACTCGACAAGTGTCTCTATACTTGCAAGTCCCCTCATCCGGATATCCTGATAAGAACTTCGGGAGAGGTCCGGCTTAGTGATTTCTTGCTGTGGCAGGTAAAAATGGACCCAAAAAGTTGGTTTAAATGTTTATATCCCAGTTTTCTCCACAGTGGGAACACAGAGTGACTTAAAACATTGTTCTCCCTTCCACCATTATCCACACAACAGCCACCACCCCTGTGAGGTACGTTAGACTGAGAGAGTGGCCTAAGGTCACCCAGAAAGATCTTCGTCGTGGTGTCTGTACATCATACCCATGGGAACTCAGTGCGCCTGTGCTGACCTGATCAGTGATGTACAAAGCTCACAACAGGATTTTCACGCCTCCACCCCCAACATGCGCAGGAAACCCAACCGCGCATGCCCAGAGGGGTGGGGCGTGGACATCCTGCCAGTTCTCTTCTGACCGCCACACTGTTAGCAGCTCTTTTGCTGGTTGGTGAGATTTACCTCGACTATGGCTCTTTTGGGATTTCATCTTCTCCCTATTTTTTCCTTGAGTGTTTTCTGTTTTCATTTTTATCTCCTTCACTCTTTTTCCTAAAAGGTGGGGGAGCTTTCGTCTCTGGGCTTCAGCCTTTCCCCCCGTCTTTTTCTCGCCCTTCTCCTTCTAGCCCTTTGTTTATGGCTAAAAGGTGGGGCTTTTTCAAGAGGTGCACCAGCTGTGGTAGCCAACTCGCACCCCCAGATGGCCACACTCTCTGTGTCCTCCACTTGGGTGATGCCCACCACCCAGACTCTTGCCCACACTGTGCCAAATTTTCAGATTAGACGCAAAAATAAAATAAAATCGAGCAGCGCATCTGTATGTGTGGCTCTGTTGGAATCGGCACTTACTCTGACTACTGTTCCACCTGTGGTATCTTGATTGGAGATGGCTTCTGATGCAGCACCGAAACCTTCTACTTCAACGGCTCCACTGCCCTCGAAATCAGCTTCCGACATCAGTCCATCGGCATTGAAACGCTCGATCCCGATCACTCAGTCGGCCTCATCCACTCCTGCGAAGAAGAAGGAGGAGGAGGAGGATAAGTCTGACAAAGGACATAAGGGCTCCACTAAGGGCAGTCACAAATCCCTTAAAACGAGCACCTCAACTGACCCTTTAGGCCCTGCACAGAGCTCAGCTCCATATGCGCAACCTGATATCCTGGAAACTCTGACCTCAGATTTGCCAAAAGTGCTATCCACACCAACTATCCAACTTCTGGACTCCCCAGTTTGGCAACTGAACCCCCCAATGTTGGAACCCTTCTCTGATACTCAGCCATTTTCGATATCAGTGTCAGATGTTGAAGAGGCCTTTGCCTGATATTTGCCCTGCAGGGCTTGGTCGCCTTCCAGATCTTCCTGTGCTACCGATTGCTCACGTTCACCGATCGACACCGCTCCCAATTGACATCGATCTCGTTCACCCATCAACACCGTCCATCGGCACTTGTATGTTGCTGACCCTGTACATCACTTTTCTCGCCCGCACCAGGGTCATCAATCACCAAAACGTGCCTACTCTCCAGATAGATCTCCTGCTCGACATTTCCACCCTCCTGCACTGTCAATGGTTCCCTGAGATCACGGCCAGTTCCAGTATCTCTATGGTGTGTTTCCGCTTTTCTCATCTTGCCCTGGTTAACTCCAGCGAGACCTTCTGACTGGGATCGGCTGTCTTCCCATCGTTCACATTCACCTCATGTGCATCAGTATACCCCTTCAGCCTCTGTATTGAAGCCTCTGGAACTGTCTTCTCCTTGGAGGGCTTCTCCTCAATGTCGATCACCTGATCTATTGGTACTGAAGCAAGCAATGTCGACACCGCCTCAACCTGCCCGATCTGCTGAGCAAGCACCAGATGTTCTCGCCCCAGTACCGATTTCTGTCTCTGCTTCTTTGAACTCTTCTGGCGAGGACTCTGATGCTGGCGCCTCTGGCACCAGGAGCTCTCCTGAGGACCCTTCGCCTAAACCAACAGTCTCCGACGACCTTCCCATTTCTCTCTCGGAGGATCTGACATCCTATGGGGACCTGATTAAACACATGGCCCATTCCTTAGGCCTTTCAATGGTTCAGCCTCAACCGTTGGTGACAAATGTGGTTTTCAATGTGGTCCAATTAGATACTTCTACTGATATCGCTCTCCCTATGTCCATGGTCCTCATGCAGGCTGCCAAGACACACTGGGACAAACCGTCTTCTGCACCAGTCTCCTCCCATCGCCTTGACCATATGTATAAGGTTCAGGAAGCTGGGGCAGAATTTCTTTACAACCACCCCAAACCCAATTCCATAATTGTCACATCTGCATTGAAGTCTAAGCGTACCCATTCTGCTCCATCTGACAAAGAAAGCAGGAAATTGGATTCCTTTGGTAGACACTTTTACTCAGCGGGAGCTCTTGGTGTCAAGACTAGCAATTACATGGCCTGCATGAGTTGGTATCAGTATGCTCTTTGGGAACAACTTAGCGAAGTTTTTACCTCTCTTCCTAATGACAAACATCAAACAGTCCGTAAGATCCAAAATAAAAGGTCTTGTTTTGGCCAAGCACTCTTCAAAGCACGCCCTCAACACCTTTTCCGAAACAATAACATCAGCTATTGCCTTAGGTAGGGACTCCTGGCTGTGCACCACAGCTCTTCAATCTGACACTAGGGCGTACATTGAAGACCTTCCATTTGATGGACAGGGGCTCTTCCATGCCACTTCTGACTCAGTTCTACAGGACATGGCTAAGAGGCGAGCATCAAGGCTTCATGCACATTGGGAGTTTCATTGTCTTCGAAGACATACAAGCCATGTCCATGGTCCCATTCCTGGCCTAAATGCGCATACTCCAGGCATTCGCCCGAACATTCCTGGCATCCTTACTCCTCTAAACTGAACCATACTTCAGTTTAGAGGCTTACTCCTCTAAACTGAAATATGGTTCGGGACAGCCACCCAACCGCTTCAAGCCTGCCAAGGCACCCAAGTAGAGTTTTTGACTTTCCACACTGTCATCTACCTGCCTCAACTCGCCTTGCACCTTATCTTCCTGCCTGGCAAGAGATTACGATCAACAAGTGGGTACTTTCTATTATTGCCCTGAGGTACTAGATAGAATTTGTTCAGCATTCACCCCTTCCGGTCATCGTCACCACCCTGCCATCTTCTGTGTTCCTTCAAGAGGTCGCTTTTCTCCTGAGCAAGGATGCTATAGAAGAAGTCCCAATTAACATCTTGGAGTACTGGGTTTTACTCCTGCTATTTCATGGTCCCCAAGAGAGACAGCAGTATCAGAACAATTCTAGATTTGAGAATGCTGAACTCCTTCATCATGTACTGCAAGTTCAGAATGATTTCCCTCCAGTTTATACTTCCCCTTCTACAGGAAGGAGTCTGGATGGCCGCCCTGGACCTCCAGGATGCCTACTTCCACCTGAACTTCCAGCCTTGCCATCACCAATACCTCCACTTCGCAATCGGGGAACAACACTATCAATACAAAGCCCTTCCCTTTGGTCTCTGCACGACCCCCAGGATCTTTACCAAGACCATGGTAATGGTTGTCGCCTGTGACGACCCCTTAACTGGGGAGGTCTGGTTTTACTTTAAAATGTTCTTTATGTTTTATTTTATTATGTGTATTCGGCTGCCACCAGGAAATTTTAAGGCTTTCCAAACCTTTATAATATATATTTCTATCACTGGGTAGGTAGGTCGGGTCTTTAGGCTTTCAAGGGACTATGTGTTCCTCAGGATGCATTTATTTCAGAGCTGGTATACGTGAATGAAATAGGATTTATTTAAATAAAGCATAAATACAAGGGAGAACCATGTAACTAGTAAAGTAGGTATAACACAGTTTGCTCCCTACTGACAGGGATTTTTCATAGGCAACTTTGTAACACTTTTCCTTCAAGTCCATATAATCTTTTTTTGTTTCCTAGACTCTCAGCTTTCAATTGTAACTCCTAAAACACAGAACTGAATATCTCTCCTTTCACACACAAATATTTAACTCAGAACTCTTATATCACACAAGACTGCTTCACTCTTTTCACACACAGAACCAAATCATCACACACAGGGATAAGTCTCCTTCTCTCAGAGACAGAACTTAACTGACTGCCTGTTTAACTGTCCTCATCAACTGTCTAAACTGTAACTCTTGACTGACATAGAAATCATCCACACAGCATCACTTCCAAAACCCCTCCCCCTTTCTGCCAATCACCAATCACACCACTTGCCTGTTTCAACCATCCTAGACTAATCTCTCTCTGCCATGCAACCAAACTTTTAAACACACAGACACAAATAAACATGAAATCATTACACCGCCTTTCTATGTCTTCAAAGAATCACTGTTTTTCTGTATATAGACAACTGGCTTCTAGTGGCAAATTCGCAAGAGTGTCTTATACGGAATGATACATATGCACTACGCTTGCCCTGCTTCGCATGCTAGGCCTCTGTGTAAATCTGGAAAAGTCCCATCTTCTTCCGTCCCAAAGAGTTCAATTCATTGGGGCAATTCTGGACTCTGTCACCTGCAGGGTTTATCTGCCGAGGGACAGGGCAGATGCCCTCATTTCTCTGTCCATGTGTCACGATTGCACTGGCGGGCCAGGCAGGGCACGGGAGTCCGAAACACAGTCCGAGGTCAAGGTACCAGAGAAGACAAGAGTAAAGTGAGCAAAGTCCAAAACACCAAGTCAAAACGTAGCCTAGGGTTACCAGAGGTTGTATCAAAGAGTGCAGAAGCCGAAAGCCGTTGGTCAGAAGTCAAGGTACACAGCCTGTAGTCAGGGAGCCGGAGAGAAACAGCATCACGCAAACTAGAGTCAGGAGCTGGGAAGTCAGTACGAAAACCAGGAGACAGGAATGCAGGATCTGGGGCGCAGCAAGTCGTCCAAGAGACTAGTTGCCAGCATGAATTGTGGATCTGAGAGATCTGTCTAAAGAGCCCGTTCCGCTTGTTAGTTAATTACCGGCCACTAACAGGGTCCTGGCTCCGGTCAGTACTCTGGGCTTAGAGGACGTTGACCTCGCATGCGCACCTCCTTTCGCCGGGTTGCCA